ATCATCTTCCCATTAGAAGACTGAGTTAATCTCTTAGCTGCCTCCTACAGCCAGAGGGATCCTTGTAAAATAAATCAGATCATGTTACTTCTGTTTAGTACTTCCAAGGGCTTCCCCTGTCATTCTTTGTAAAAACTACTGTCTTTACTATGGCCTGTAAGATCTATGTTACCTTGCTCTTGACTAGCCATGTCTTCTCTCCTCCTCTGCCCTTTATTCACTGAGCTCCAGCCACAGGGCCTCTTCCTATTGTCTTGCCTCAGGGCCTTTTACTGGCTATTCCCTCTGCCTGGAAACTCTTATCCTGGATATCAGCATGGCCAAATCCCTCACTTCTCATAGATCTTGTATTATAAATGTCACCTTCTCAGCAAGGCCACCCAGACCACCCTCATTAAAACTGCAGCTTCCAGGGGCACCTGAGTGGCTTAGTTGGTTGGGCAGCCAAATCTTGGTTTCAGGTCAGGTTATGATCTCAGGGTCCTGGCATCAAGCCCTACATCGAGTTCCATGTTCAGTGGGGAGTCTGTTTGAGGATTCTCTCTCTCCCTCTTTTTCTGCCCCTCCTCTGTTCGTTCTCTCTCTCTCTCTCTCTCTCTCTCTCTCTCTAAAATAAATAAATAAATCTTTAAAAACAACAACAAAAACCCCCACATCTTCCTCTCACACACTCCTGATTCTTTTCACCTTGCTCTGTTTCTTTTTTCTTCTACACTTACCACCCCTGAACATACTCTGTTATGTGCTCATGTATGTTTATTGTTTTTTGCCTGTCCCCCTTCACTAGATTGTAAGATCCACGAGAGCAGAGATCTTTGTCTCTTCTGTCTGTTGACATATGCTGAAGAGCAGTGCCTGGCGCATAATAGTAGTTGTGGTCAGTACTTATCAAATGAGTAATTATGAACTATGATGCGTGTTTGAAAAGAATGCAGTTATAGATGATAGTCACTACATCAGCAGTGGCTAATGTTTGCTGAGGCCAGACCTCCTGCCATGCCCTGTGCTAAGGGCTTTACATGCTTTTGTCTTATTTAACCCTTGCAATGATGCTAAGAGACAGCTACTAATAATATTCCCATTTAACGGTGAAAGAAACCAAGACACAGGAAGTATAAATAGATAAATAAATAAGTAGATAAATAAATAAATATTTATTTATGGTCAGCAACCCACCTCTAGTTTGCTTTAGCACCTGTAGCCTATAAATGATAAATCTGGAGGAAATTATGGAATAGGCAATGGAGGCAGGTGGCAAAGCACATTTCACTGTTAGCAGTGCTCTTCTTTGAGTGCTCACATTTAATCCCAGAGTATTAGGTGTTAATTTCCAGGTGAGGGAGACTTTAGGTAGTTAATCCTACATCTCCAAAACACATTCTGTGTCCCTCCTTTTTCTTATTGTTTAAATCCAGATCCCTCTGTCCTTTCCAGAAGTGGAAGCCATCACAGCTTCCCGTCCAGGGGAAGTTTGATGGTTTCTCATTTCCTTTTCCAGAATAACACAAGGACATGGCCTTTGGGGAAACCTAAGTGGTGTTTCTCTTCCTCACAGGAGGCAAATGCCTTCTCAGCTGAGAGTTTTATGTTAATGCTTCTTCCATAGGAACTTGATTGCAGAGTATCTATTCCTTCCTGATGTGATCCCTTGATCACAGGCCACCCCTGGCACCTAGAGCAACTTCTGTTGAGTGTCTGCTTCTCTTTCCCAGGGTGATCCTTACCCTCAGAGACATGGAGCACTCATCATCTGTTAGTGACTGCTCTCAGGTGTCTGAATGGATCTTGTGGGCCTGAGCCTAGACTTAGTCACCAGTGGGAGGCTTATTCTGAGCATGAAGCTGCTGTGTCTTCCTACTCAGCAACTATATTATTTTTCTATGCTCTGTAATAAATTACCACAAATTTAGTGGCTCAAAACAATATGCCTTATTTATCCCACATTCCTGTAGCTTATCTGAGTTCTCTGTGCCAGGTCTCATCAGGTTACAATATAGGTGTTGGTGGGGGCCATAATCTCAACAGAGGATCAACTCTGGAAAGATCTGTTTCTACTGCTCCCTTAGGTTCTTCACAGGATTCACATCCTTGTAGTCATCCTATTGCAAACAAAAATCCCCAGTTTGTTGTCAACTATTGGCCAGGAGCTGTCACATGACCCTTTCATTACATGGCAGTTACTTCTTCAAAGCCAGCAAGAGGAATATGTAGCCCCAGCCTGCTGGAATGGAGCTTTACAGCAAACTGTAATCACAGGAGTGACACCCCATCCTCTTTGCCAAATTCTGGTGGTTAGAAGTGCACGTCCTGCCTTCACTCAAGGGGAGGGTTTTATAAAGGCATGAACACCAGCAGGTGGAAGTGATTGGGAGGAAGGGGTCACATTAGGGGTATGTTCACCACAGCAACCATATTTACTGTAGTTAAATTCTGGAGATAGGGGTGCCTGAGTGGCTCAGTCAGTTAAAAGTCTGCCTTCAGCTCAGGTCATGATTACAGGATCCTGGGATCAAGTCCCACATGCAGCTCTCTGCTCAACGGGGAGTCAACTTCTCCCTCTACCCCTCCCCCATGCTTGTGTGCACTCTCTTTCATGCTCTCTCTCTCTCTCTTTTTCTCTCTTTCTGAAATAAAATATTTTTTAAAAATTCTGGAGGTAATTCCTAAAGGCAAGAGATGACCTATTATTTGCTCATCTATTCCTTCAGTAGACATTGGATTTGCTTTGCCAAGACAATAGGTCAAGATGTGTTTTTTTCATGTTTTATCTAGAAAATTTGTCTGATGCCTATTTTTGTAGATATTTTGTGCTCATTTCAGTTCAAATATAACTGAGTAAATTATCTGGTGAAATGAACCAGAGCTGCCTTCCTTCCTATAGTACTTCTGGTTCTAGAACCAAAGATGGTGGTTACTAGATCCTGTACTAGAGCTTATTCCTTGTGAACCTGGTTTGGATTTGCTGAAAAACCGACTCCTTTAATTTTCTGAGTGTTTTACTGAGTGGCTATAGTGTCGACTTACTTAAAATGATTACCGTTTTTCAACCTACTCATTTAAAATCTTGGTGTTTATAAATAACCTCCGTGGTCTGACATTTGTCTTCATGTGACAGAGCAGCTGGGATTTCACATCTTAGAACACCCTCCTCCCATGCCTGTCTTCATTGTTTGAGACCCCACAATACCCATGACTGTATATCATGATCAAGTCTTCTCTTTCAAAAGTCTGAAATCTTCTGCTTTAGTTTCTCTTAATATGTCTTTTGTTTGGGGTGGTAGAGGATGAGAATGTGGGGGAAGAATGAAAGCATGTGTCTAGTCTGACAAAGTCTTAATGCAAGAAGGCTGGAGCACAGAACTGGTTTCTTCTTTCAGAGTTTTTATTCCAGTTTGAGCAGTTTCAAATCTGTTTATTCTTTTACATATCAGAAGTATATATCTCAGTCCCTACTCCTGAAAGGATGTGTTAGAAGGAAAAATAAAGTCAAGATAATGCAATTGACATTGCTTCCCCAATTGCACACCTGTGAAAAACCAAATCCTCTTTAAAATTTTTACACTTTTGAATTTTATGTAAATCATACGCAGATAGTTAACGGTAGCGTAAATTGCTTTTAATAATATAGAAGAATCTTAGAAATTCATTTTTAAAATGTAGCAAATATGCATTCAGAAGCCATTTATTTGGCAGGATACATGTGTATTAGGAGTTTGGTGTGAAAGTGCCCACTTTAAGAATTTTATGACCACACCTGCTCTTACAGGGGCTGGCATGGGCCCCTCTTTGGTAGAGCTCCTCATAAGTGGGCCGGGAGAGCCTTGTTCACCTCTCAGCCAGTGGGGAGTGGCTGTGCTTGTGCTGGAAGCCTTGGGCAGAGCCCAGGACCCTGGTCCTGAGTCCTGATCTCCATGACCAGCTCCTAGAGAGAGAGAGCATACATGCCCTGCTGACACTTAGCAGCAATCCACTTTCTCTTGCTTTATGCATGACTGGGTGGGCCACAGAATCACCTTCCATTTCTGATAATCATGTGGCTTCTGGGAATTCCTCAGGCCTATGTAAGTGTCATATAGGAGCCCCTCAAAGTGTCATATGGCATGAAGTGGTGGGTTTTCTTTCTGGTGATCCCTTGCTGCTGGCTCTCCTGAATGCACATAGTTTTGTATCATTTGCACATCTACATGATGGGAAAGAGGGAGGCAGCCACACCCCCTGTGTGGGGAGATTGCGGGGCTGTGCTGGACACCTCTGCACCGACCAGAAGACTGCAGTTGTTTGCCACAAACAGCCTTGATACTCACTCTTTCCCCAGAACTAAAGTTCTTTATATTCTTTCTTTAGTGCATCTTTAATTTTGATAGAGTTTGCCAGATTGCCTTCTGTAGGGGATGAACCTTTAAAAAAAAAGGGGGGGATTTGTAAAAGACCTTTTAAAAGTCTTTTAAAATTAATTTTAATTTTCTAAGTGCTGTAAGAATAAATTCTCTTCAAAACAAATGAAAAGAAAATTAGGGATATAGCTACAGTTACTTTCAGGTACCACACCACCCCTTGATCCAGTTCCCATGCAGACCCTCTCCATCCCCCAGAGGTAAATGCTATTATTGGTTTGGTGTGTCTCTTTGTCTGTGCCTTGGTAGATATAAACACATGGGAAATAAACATTATGGGAGTGTGTGTGTGTGTGTGTGTGTGTGTGTGTGTGTGTGTGTTTGTGGTTTTAATGCATACACTATATTGTGCTAAATGTCTATAACTTGATACTATGTCTTAGAGGTCTTTCCATGATGTGTATAATTTTATGTGTGTGTGTGTAAAATTTGAGTTTTACCATAAATTATTTTTCAGTAGTGCCTTTTTGACATTTACTTTCAGGAAAGAATTTGGGGTTTCATTAAATACCCAATTATTCATTCAGGGGTGTGTGTGTGTGTGTATGTGTGTGTGTGTGTGTAGTACAAAATCTTAATCTTTGTGTGTTGTTTTCCTCTCTTCAGATCTCAGAAAAGTGATCTCCACAATGAACGCTACATCTTGGAATTAGATTGCTGTTCCTCCTTAGACCACCTGACAGGCCAAAAACTCATCCCAGAGTTCATTAAGAAGGTGAGCCCTGTAGACAACTGAACAGGTTTGCAGTGCAAACTGGCTGGGGCTAACTTGGGGCAGTTCAGTCACACTCCACAGGCTGGGCAGAGCCTGTGCCTTCTTGAATGTGGGTCTTTGAACAGTCCTGCAAGGGTGCAAACCATCCCCACCCCCACCACTACACACATTGCTCAGGCTGAAGATGACTTGGAAACATGGTAGCTTCCCCCCTTCCTGGGCAGGCAGGTCCCTGGACCTTGTCTTTTAAAGCTGTAGTGGCATTAATAGCCTACAGGCCTGTGGACCCATTGCTGGGACTCCCTTCAAACCTTCACGGTGGTGTGATAGCACCCCTAGCCCAGATCCCACCTTCTACTTATCCTGTGGGTCTTAATTGCCATGAGCCATCTTTCCTTCTAGCGTGAGAGCATCCCAGAGTGCTGTATCCATCGGCATGCAGTTATATCAGGGAAAATTGCCCACTTGCAGGAGAATCATTCTCTGCCCAGAAATTGTCTGGTTTTGAACTTCTCTTCATGCCATATGAGGTTTCCTACCCGAATTGCAGGGTCCACTTTCAATGTGACATCTACTGCAGAAGGAATGTCCTTGCCCAAACTGGGGCTAAGTTCATTCCTCAATGCTTACTTTTTTCTCTGTCACCCAGTCTTGCACAATGTTTGACAGTTCCCTATCCTGTAGAGGTGATTACGGTTTGCTTGAGATCTGATCTGTCAGTTAGTGAATTCATTAATAAGAAGTGATGGCCATCAGCTTTGGACCAGAAATAGTACTTGCCTGCTTGGTGCTTGGACACAGAGAATGAAATAGCTGTGGCCCCTGCCCTCATGTCGTCATACCTGGAAGGCAGACCCTGGAGGAGTGTGATGAGCATTACCAGCAGGGAAGCAGCAAGGCAGAGGAGCAAGTAGACACCATGTGGTCTGGGTATTGGGGAGGACCCTCTGCACTAAGAAGGGATGAGGAGGAGTAACCTAATGATGGGGCTGCCCAAGGAAGGTTGGGGAGCCCTACAAACAGAGGGAGCAGCATATGTGAAGGTGTGGTGCAGGAGCAAGTGAGAGGAGTCAAAAAGATCAAGCTTTGGGAGAGAAAGGGCGTCTAAGGGATGGTGGTAGGGGCCAGGACTCTGCTGTAAATGCAGTAGAGGCTCTTCAGAGGATTTTTACAAAAGAATGAAATAATTAGATTATCTTGTTAAATACCCAGTGACTTTTTTTTAAGATTTTATTTATTTATTCATAAGAGACAGAGACGGAGAGAGAGACAGAGACATAGGTAGAGGGAGAAGCAGGCTCCCTGTGGGAAGCCTAATGTGATGCAGGACTCAATCCCAGGACCCCAGGATCATGACCTGAGTCAAAGGCAGATGCCTAACCACTGAGGCACCCAGGCTCCCCACCCAGTAGCTCTTTTGTTGCTGTTCCCTTCAACATTTATTGAGTGTTCAGGCCCGACACAGCCCTAGGGTTAGCCCCTCATGTGTGTGTGTTGGGAGGAGCAAGACCTACAGATTGGGAGTCACATGACATCATAGGTCAGTGTCTCTGATAATTTTACTAGGATGGTGGAGACTTTCTACTCTGGTGGAATTCAGATCATTATCTCAGAAATGTGGGTAAAAGGTAAATTTTGTTCACACATCTGTATAAATAGGGTCCTCTTTTGTGAATTGTTATAAAATATTCTGATAAACTTGGGTAGTGATATGTTAGAGGTGGAACTTACCTCATGATCTGAGTACTGGGAAAAGTCATTTTAGACATAGGCTTGTAAACAAGACTTGGAATGCTTGGAAGTTTTGAGGGGTAAGTGGGTTAAGATTAGTGCATGAGGCTCTGTGTATACTATCAAGTATCTCTTTTAAAAACATATGATCTGGGGCAGACCTGGGCAGCTCAGTCAGTTGAGCAGCTGACTCTTGGTTTCAGCTGAGGTCATGATCTCAGGGTCATGGAATCAAGCCCGGTGTCAGGCTCCACACAGAGCAGAGAACCTGCTTGAGATTCTCTCTCTCTGCTCTTCCCCCGACACATGCATGTTCCCTCTCTCATAAACAAACAAACAAACAAATAAACAAAACCCCATATGATTTGGTACCTTCGTCTTAACCAAACCAGCTTATTGCATGACTGGCCTGTTACATTGTGCCCGTATCCGGTCTTGAGAAAGCAGCCTGACTAGTGGGTTCTCAGAACCTGGTGTGTGTAGCATCTGTCATGCAGGTAGACATCTGTGTGGTCTGTGTGTGTTTACATGCATGGGTGCATATCAGTTTTAGATAGTTCACTTTAGTATTAGTTAAATAAATCATTGACACCTGCTCATTCTATGTTTGTATAAAAATTGTTTTTAACATTTTGAAAATTATGCACCCTAAAAAGTCCACGGTGCCATCCTGCTCCTGCAATATGCCTGGTTTTCAAACAAAAAGCACTGGGTCCAGACAGACTAGACAACTTGCACACTAGGAGATTTCTAGGAGCTTGTCTTGGAGCTTGTCTCCCAGAATCTCTCCCCTCTGTTCCTCTCAGTAGAGAGGTGATTCATGGTCATGGTCAGTGGGTGCACATAAAGTTTTCTGCCAACAACTCAGGAGTCTTGAGATCGTCCCACCATTTGTCCCTCGCTGTCCAGTGTAGCTGAGGGCACGACCTGGAAGGATTTCTGGCCATCATTGTAGGATGTAGCTTTAGTTTCTCAGCCAGTGGCCATGATAGGCAGAAGAGGGACAAAATGATGGATCTGGGCCTCCTTCCCTCTGCTCCTCTTTTCTGTTGTTGGACAAGATTGCTGGAGAAAACACTGCTTCAGTGTGCAAAGAGTGGAGGGGAACTGAATGCCCTCTCTAGGATCAACAGCTATTCCAGCTGATAGAAGAATTTTACCATACGTGTAAATTTTTCTGTCATCACACAAGTAGAAGATCCTCAGAGCTTCCTGGGAAGAAATATGCTAAAAACCATTTGTGACTTTTCAGTAAATATTTAATGAATAGCCAGCCTGGTCCCTATTTGTATATATAGAGAGTGGTGACACTTGTTAATTGCCATTCACTTAGGCCAAGATGAAGCTGCGCTACTGGCGGCTAGAGTGTACAGTCATTACTTTTTATCTGGGTCATTATTTTGTGTGAAATAATGGCTCCTGTTCCTATGACAAGCAGATCCGTCTTACGATGAGATGGTAATTAACTCATTTTGTCATTGTACCATCACACAGGATAAGCTCATATTCTCTGCATATTAGAATTAAATTCAAAGTGATTAGATTTTTTTTCTTAAGAACAATGGCCCAGTATTATTTTTCCACTGAATGTTTTAAATTAGAAGGACTTTGGGATAGAGAACATGGATGGAAGGAGGGAAAGAAGATTTCATTATTTTCCACAATTAGGAAAAATAAAATCATCTGTATCTGTGTCATGTAAAATTAGCTGAAGGTGCCATAATTTACAGGCTCTCTCCAACATGATTTTCCACAGAGGGCAAAGGGAATTATATAAAGATGACTCTGTTCCTTTCAGTGTGGTCTGATGATTTCTCTGAGCACTTTAGCTGCTCAAATTAAATCTGGGCTACTGCGTTTTGTTTTTCCCCTCTTGTATCCTGCTGTGCACCATCCAACCAGCCCTTTATGTAAATTATTTATTATGGACCACAGAACATTTAAAGGGCAGATTTATGGGCAGGCTTGAAGAGACTGTGTGTTCCAAGTCCTAGAACTGAATGCTCCAGGGACAAAGAGTCTCAAGGCTATTGGAGAGCAGAGGTGCCGCCTTTGCTCCTTTGAGACAAAGGTTTGGCTGCCAGGTACTTCCGGAGCCTGTCTTGTATGGCTAGTGGATGTGTAGGGCCCCTTGGAATTTCCTGCTCTTCAGAGTTCCCAGAGGATTGTAAAGAGACAGAATGATGTCCAGTAAAGGGCTTACATGTTCATCTTCAAATTCCTTTACATTCTTTGGAGCTTCTTGGGAAAGTGCTCATATGTTTGGAAAGCCCTTTGATGATTCCAGAATCATTGCATAGATTTTCTGGTTTATGCTTCACAGTAATTTTGGTCAAGGGGTCACACTGGCAATGGTGGCTCCCTTTTAGACAGGAGGAAAGAGCTCCGAGAGGATGACAGATTTGCCCAGGGGCTGAGACTGTGCAGCCTGGCCAGGTATTTCTCCAGGAGAGGCGCCAGTGGGTGCAGCGGGACTTGGGTGGAGCAGGAAGGTTCTGTGGCCAAATGGGAAGGTTTTGGAGAAGGGTGGTGTAGAATGAGGGTCCTGAAAAGTGAGGGATGGATGGAGGGGTGAAGCAGACAGTACTGGTTTTGGTAAGGATAGGAGCGTGGAATGAAAGCTCAAGGCTGAGAGTCAAGTTCTGTTTGGCTGGAGTTTGGGATGAACAGAGGGAAGAGGGAGCCTGTTCTGGGCAGGGTTCTTTTAATTATGTGACATAGAGCCCTACTCAAGCCAGCTCAGGTGCAGTACATCAGGTAGGGTTTCCTACAAAGATACGGGAACTGGCCGGGAGCCCCTGCAACAGAATACAGGAAGGTACCTGCCACGCCCAAGAGGAAAAGAGAAAGGAGGAAAAGATTAGGCACTCTGGTTGTATTATATGCTGCTGGTCAATATTTATCTATTTGCAGGTTTTATTTGAATTTTACTTATTTTATTTTTTAATTTATTTGAGAGAGAGAGAGAGAGCTCACACGCAAGCAGGGGAGAGAGAGAGAAGCAGACTCCATGCCGAGCAGGGAGCCCGATGCAGGGCTTGAATGCAGGACCCTAGGATCATGACCTGAGCCAAAGGCAGCTGCTTAACTGACTGAGCCACCCAGGTGCCCCATTTTGTTTGAATTTTAAATGGGATTTCACTGCACAGAGAGAATCTTTCTGTGTGCCAGGCAGACCCTATACTGACAGACTTTACACACTGTATACCCTTAACCCTCATCTCACCCCCTCTGAAGGCTTATCCCTGTTTTGTAGGTAGAGAAACTGA